GTTGTGAAACAAAAATTATTACACGCAAGGTCTTAGGTCCTTTTTCACCCAAAAGTCCTAAGTGTACAGTGAAAACGAAGAACGCAATAGGGTTAAAAACTGTTGAAAGAAATTTTGATTTAATTATGCTTCGTATGTTACAGTTGGGAATTTATATTTTTTATTAATGTACGACTATGTAGATTGTGAATTCTAAAGCATCCTTTGTTCAAACAGCGAGCATCCCTATCAGAAAGTTTTTAATCAAACACACTGTCGCAAAACTAACTAAAAACAATTATACAGGATGGTTCGTCGAAATTGAATAAACTTTTAGCAAAAATTTCCAAGCATATAATAGATATCCTGCATTATGTCTAGCACGTATGTCTGTTAGCAAAATTAGCTTAGAATTACAAAAAAAATAGTATCTTATTTCCAGCAGTTCTTCATTTAACGAAAAAAGAACTTCTCTAAAAACACCATCGATCTATTTAATCTTTATAAAAATGTTTAAACAATCGCACCCCTTGTATCATTCTAAATGCACGATTTCTCCAGTGAGTCAACAACTGGACCATAAATCCATCGATGAGAAAAACTCTAAGCAGATCACCGTGTATGGAGATCGACGATCGAGTTGATCGCCTCGATGTCTCGAGCCGTATGAATCTGAGATCGCGTGATATTACTTACAATTTGCTAGGCCAGTTTCTGCATTCCACTGACGTCATTTGCGGCGCATCCTCTTCCCTCGAGGACGACCTGACTGAAAGATACGCATCTGCACGCAGTCTCGATTGCTTGGACGTTCCACGTTTCAGATAACGTCTGTTCATCCTGGATAGATCTACCCTGCCCATTTCAAACAGACACGTGACTGTTTCTCACAGTAAGCAACTCGTTTCTCACAGTCCCTTCCATTTTTCATCCTCCATTTCTGTTCTTCGAACAACACCTCTTATCTCGCGTGAAACCGTGTTTTCATCGAACAAGCTTTCTCGATCAAAATTTTCCCCCTCCGTTTTATATCGTTGGAAAATTCATTTCTTTGAAAACGCGAATCAAAGTTTTCAAATTCACAAATTCGGAGTTTCAGTTACAGTTGACTTATTTGCAATTCGAATAGCGAACGAGGTGGATACCATCGATTTAGCATAGGTGATGGAAGTGAATTGAAGTAACGATACACTTTATTAATAGCAACGAAACTGGTTCATCGTTGAATCTTCTGTTCCGATGATACTACTCCGTTAATAGCACGTTCCCTTAATCGAGATGTGTTATCTAAAGTTGTAAGAAATAGCAGAGAACACGGACGGGATATAATCTTGGAGAAGAATCTCCTCCGATTCGAATGGAAGAAAGTTAAACGGAGGAGAGAGAGAGGGTGCAGTAAAATGTACAAATAATGGAATCAGTATTTCTTTCGTCGAACAAAAGACACTGTCCCTCTGTATCTTGGAATTAACAATCCATCCTAAATACTAAATACGTATATATACACGAATTTACCGATCGATACATTCTCTTCGCGAAACAACGATCTTGTTGATCTTAAAACTGTCCTATCTCGCAATTCTCACATTTGAGATTCTCCTTAATAAATCAACATCATCTCCCCCATACTCGTGGTCTTTCCAAGAACGATCGTAGGAGAAAAAGAGCCTGGCAACAAGAATTATTCCTCCGTGCAAAGATGAGAGAAGAAAACGGTCGAAGACAGAGGCACAGAGATATAATTATGGTCAGGCAGAAGATATCGGATGTAGACGAGCTCTGTGTTTAGCCATTTACCGACGTCGATGAATGATTAAAAGTATGTTAACCTCTTTGGATAAACGTGTTTTCCGTTTGATAAGGGTTATTGGCGAAAAGCCACGGCAACAATGATCGAGGAGGAGAAGAGAAGAAGTAGGGTTTCGTAACGTTGACTGGCGGCCGCGCATCGTGTGATCGGCTTGTTTTATCGTTCGCTACGACGACGACGACGACGACGGTCACGGGATCTGTACGCCGCACTTTTCGTGCCTCGGCTCGACATAATCGAGATCCTCGAACGGCGACACGTATAAGAGGAAGGCAGGAAAGGTCACGGCTCTGACCCATTTCGACGTTTTATCGGGCTACAACGCGAGCAAAGTTCGCGTCTCGCGGTGCACGAAGTGGTCCGCGCTTCGTGGAACGAGATTACATACGTGACTTCCGTTTTCACGCCTCTTGTTTTTCCTACCAACGCCAGTATATACGACGTCAGTCTCTTGTTTTCTCCCTTCTCGCCGGGATCTCGACGAATCTCAATTTAGCGGCGTTTGATCGCTGGAAGATGAGGATCGAGGATCTTTGTTTTTCTTGGTTTAAATGTTTCTGGGTTGTTTTAACCCTTTCGGTATCTGTGGAAGAGATATGTCTCGCGATTCATTCGCGTGTCTCTTTTCGTCTCTTCTGCGAACGCGAAGAGGTTACTTTTTTAGAAATGTTTCACGTAAGGAATATTTGAAGGTATTCGATCAACGGGCCATTCATTGGCGTTCACAGAGATATCTTAGTGACATAAAATCTCACTTTGAAGGCAGCACACCGTATATTAAATCATTTCATTCATCTTCGATCATCTCCATAAATGAACCACTGATGATAAATGAGGAATAAATTGGCGAGGATAGGGACGGGGAAATCTCTGCATAAGTTTCTGAACAATTTAACCTTTATTCCTTACTATTTCAATACTTTTCCTTATTTCGATTAAAAACTCGTTTCTCTTTGTTTAATACATTCTCCGAAACTAGAATGTTCACGAACCATTTTCAATTGATCTACCAACAATTTTTCTACATTCATATTTCCTTGTATACACAAAATTAATCGAAGATTCGTACTAAACTAAATTCAAAAATTATCTTGGAAAAGGTTTTTTTTTTTTTTAATGAAAATCATAGATCATCGACGACCTTCGTGGCAAGGAATGCGCGAACCCGGCCGAACAGATCCTTGGTGCAAAACGCGGCGAAAGTGTCCAACGTGGGGCTGACTCACGGCGAAATTTTATCTTGGCCGGCGATTTGCCAAATATCGAATCGTCCGCTTGTTCAGCAGCTTTCTCCCAAGTCAAACGACACTTCCGTCCTTCGATGTTTCTCACTGGTCCATGTCGACTGCCAAAGAAAATTCGTTTAGCTGCGGTTAACCATGAAGCATGTAGTTCAAGGAGCCACGCGACGTTTCTATCGATTTTAGCTCATTAACTCGTAATGAGTTCCCGTCGTTGGTGGTCACGACACAGTGTTTCATCCCTGACGGCGTTTATAAACCAGGAATATTACAATTCTCAACAATTTACGACCAACGCTCGTGTCTTTAATTGCTTCGTTATTTTCGTGAAACAGTAAAGATCCTCTGTGATGATTCATCTCTTTACGAGCATCCAGCGCTGTTACCTTCAAATCTTAGTAGATTGCAATAAGATTTGTATTAAAATTATAATAATCCACGGAAGGCTCTTCGATTCTAAGATTTTTCGAAGACGCGAAACATTCCTTTCTTTTCAAGTGAGAAGAAGAAAAAAGAAGAAGAGAAACACCTCGAGAAGTATACTTTGATGAAAATGAAAATTTTACAAGACCGTAACACGTGTCGTTTGCCACTTTAAAGTGTGCTCGAGAGATGTTCGCAATTGTATATTTATGAACGTCGACCGAGCGACGCAGAATGTGTAGTGGTTCCGCCTTCAATTGGTCTCGTTCACGGAGATATTCGCGTCCCACGTTTTACGCTGATCGTATCTTAAAGCGTGTGTTGCAAACAGCGTTCGATATCTTCTGAATTTTAGTGACGTCGTATCGTTCCCCGTTGTCGCCTCTCGTAAAGATTTCTTCTTTCTTCTACGGGTTTTACAAGCAGCCGTAACGATGGCCGCGTTAGATTGACATCGTAAGCTATTTGAAGAACATTTGTGAAAGCAAAGTGTGTATGCACATGTGTGGCAAAGTTTGTCGATGATCAATTTTGTATATTGTACAAAATTGTATATTGTACGTACGAGTTTTTAGTAAGAATAAAATTTAAAGAAAGCGTAGTTTATTACAAGTTTCGTTCGTGTTTCCAAATTTTCATTTCGTTGACAAATTTGTTGGTTTTCTGGTTTGCAAAAATTGCACGAGAGATTGGACTATAGGTTGGTCGAATATTATTCGTTCAAGGCCACCATCGAGCAATACCCCCACCATATTCCTCGCTCGCTCCATTACTCCGTCCTTAGGAACAATCGTATCGTACGTAGCAAGGTTGTAAAAGTAGAGAATCACTCGTGAAACGCCTTGGAACGGCCAATTAATTTTCCACAGACTATGTCACTCCAATCACGTTCTATCAAATCGTCATTGAGACGGAAACCAATGAAATCCTGTAAAAAAGGAGAGACGCGTTCGCGTAAACAAAGGCAAATCCATAAAGTAGAAGAATTCTACTTACGGTAATTCGCGGATGCACGTTTTAATATTACCTTATCGCACGTGGAATAAAAAAAAAAAAGGAGTGCTTAAAAATCAAACCGCTGAAAGACATAAAATTCCATTGCTCCATGTTCGAGAACCCCCTGAAAATACACACACACACGCAGATGCATCGATTTTCGTTATCGCACACCGAACAGAAAACCCTCTGAAAATCAACTCTCCTAAAAACCACTCACACAGTCAGGGGAACCCATAAAACAGTGGAACCCTAAAACGCAACCGCACACTGTACAAACGCACGCACACACACCTTCAAGGTCTGTTATCGCGCCTCGACAACCTATAGAAAGCGGAAAAAACAGAGCAGGAAGAGAATGAGAGAGAGACGGAGAGAGGAGAGAGAGTGGGTGAATGAGAGACAGAGAAGAGCGAGAGGCTGAGTGAGTGAGAACGAGAGACGAAGAGAAGAGAGCGAGAGGACGAAAGACAGACAGACAGAGTGGAGAGGAGAGGAAGAGAGACAGAGAGGCGAGAAATAACGTAGTGCACGTGTGGTTCGTGTTTCAGGTTGCAGCGAGGACGAGGCAGCAGGTGTCGTGAACGCGGAGGTGGGCGGAGGTTGCGCGGCCGGGGCGCCAACCACAGGAAGTGCCGCTGGAGGTGGTAGCGGGACAGGTAGCGAGGCTGGGGGCGGTGGTGGTGGTGGTGGTGGCGGTGGAGCAGGAGCAGGAACAGGAGGAGGCGGAGGCGGAGGCGGTGGTGGCCGTGGTGGCGGCGGCAGCGGTGGCGGTGAGGGCGGATCGACGAAGCAGCAGGGTGGCGAGAGGTGTCCCCAGTGCGGCTTCCTCTGCCGGGACGTCCACGTGCTTCAGCTCCATCTCGAGGACACGCACAAGACCCCGTACGCCATCGACAAGAACGATCTCAACGCTCAATTCCCCCAAGTGGTGAGTGAAACTAACGTCAAGGACGAAAGGAGGACTCCATTGTTCCTTGTGTATTATCGATCATGCGCGACCGGCCTGCGGATTCTCCTTTCTCTCTTTGTCTCTCCCTCCATCTCTCTCTCTCTCTCTCTCCTTGCTTTTTTCGTTTCTTTCTTTTTCTTTTTTATTCGCGGCTGTAGTGTGGTTTCTTCCTTTTGTTGGAGACTTTTCTTCTTTTTCTTTTTTTTTCCTTCTTTCCTTCTTTTTGTTCAAAGGAACGATAGGAGGAGGATGACGATGGAAAGTGGAGAGTATACGAGAGAATGGAGGAAATTGGATTGCGACGTGGTTGATGAACGCGTGATTTGGGATATTCGAATTTCTTTTTTCTTCCTTTTGGAGGGACAGTTTGGATAATTGTTGTTTGAAGAGAATCATGTTGTTTTATTTATTTATTTTTTCATTTTTTGACGGTTTCATTAGTGGACGAGTATTTACTATTCGCGCGTTGCAGAGACGGTGCATCGTTAGGTTTATGTAAAACAGTACTGGCCGTCGCACCTGTGCGATTATGAAATTCAAAATAGCTTATTCTCGTGACGAGGTACGCGATCCTGCATATTGAGTTTACTTTGAAATTCCAGCCTCTATTTGTTACTTTATGTAGTTCACGGCTACGCTCAAGAAGAAGACCCGTAGCTCTGTGTGCTATTCCAATGAAATAGGCTTAACGTTGAATTTTCCACTCGCAGAGTGTCTTTTTAGAATAAAGTGGCTCAGGAACAAAGACACTTTTTTTTCTCGAGTTATTCTAATTATCTTGAAGCCGTCTTTCGACATATTTGTACAATATCCACTTTGACTGTAATTAAAGTTACACGTTAAGAAAAATGATTAAATATAATCAGATTTATGCAAAAATGATTAAGGAAAGTGTAATTACTGCTAGATATCGATATCGTTTGCTAGAGTTCATTTGTAGAATTCCAGAGAATTATAGAAACTGTTGATTCACTTTTAAAATTAACTGCTCGAACGATGGATTAACATTAATCAACGAACGACAAGATGAATAACCAGGTGAAATTAATCAATGAATTTTTCCAGTCCTGCCAGGTGTGCAGCAAGACTTTTGCTAACGTCTACCGACTCCAGAGGCACATGATCAGCCATGATGAGAGTGCCGTGCTTCGTAAGTTTAAGTGTCCCCATTGCGAGAAAGCCTTCAAGTTTAAGCATCACCTCAAGGTACTACGAGTGCACCCTTATTTTTCATTTCTCATTCGTACATCGTTATTTCCGTTCTTTGCTTTCCCTTTCACGGTCTCGTTTATCACACAGCACTGCCTGATTCGCTATATTAATTTCTCCTTTTACCGAAACCAATTAATTTCGCCGAATTAGAATATCTTTCTGTATAATTTTCATTTAAAAAACCAAAAAAGAAAAAGAAAAAAAAGAAACGTACAGAGAAATTCATCGATGTACTTGCACCGGAACGATTATTCTTTTCCATTAATTTACCTTAGAATTACCTCTTAGATATTAGTCGTTATTATTACCACCAGTGTGTAACAAAAGTTCCCCGGCTCAGATTGCAAAAACTTTCAAATTCACGTACCGACATCTCTCTTTCCTCGGATATTCAAACAGATATGTGAACCCTTTGAAATTCTTAAAAAAAGCAAAAAGTATTATCGTCTTCCATTCTATCGCGATAAATTGTCTATCTCTCAAAATCCAGGAACTTTTGTCACAAGCTGTATTATCTGTTCATCGAATGGATATCAATTCTTTTTTCACATTTTAATTTCCCCCCTTTACTCGGATCCCCTGTTCACAGGAACACCTTCGCATTCATAGCGGTGAAAAGCCATTCCAATGCAACAACTGCGGCAAACGTTTCTCCCATTCGGGCTCGTATTCGAGTCACATGACCTCGAAGAAGTGCCTGATAGTGAACTTAAAGAAAACCAGGCACACGAGTGTGAGCAACGTGGACCGAGGCCCGAAGAAGGCGCAACAACCCCTGCCGGCGGGCCGGCGCGAGGTCGATCTGCTCGCGGCGAATAATAACACTTTCCTCCCTATTCTGCCGAAGCTTTCACCCTCGGATTATCAGGAGATACACAGGGAAGGAGCGGGTGAGGGTCGATAACGCCATTCTATTTCACCGCAATCGTGCACCTTGAACGATTCGCTCTCCTCCTCCTTCTTCCTACCATGAGAACTCGATTCGTAATCGAATGTTTAACGCCACACAGAAATTCCATTTTATTCCAATAGAGTTTGCTATTCGATTTGCAATCGAATGTAAACGGAAAACGTTCAGATTCGTCCTGTTTATAGAGATGTAAATGAGTTTTTGTGCTTGCTTCGATCGATGATATCGAGGGTTGTAGTTGTTTCTTATTGCTTTTCATATTTTTATTAACCCTTCGACTGCGACACGATTTGATTAATTTTGACACGATTTATATCCTGTCAAAGGGTTAAGCGTGGAGAGTTTGGAAAAGATTGCGAATAGATTAATATCAGCAAAATTTATTACGAATTTGACAATACTCTCGTGTGTGATTTCTGTTTGTTACAATCACGGAAGAGAGATAAATCTGTGAAAATACACCGACTACAATCTTCCAACCCCTCCTGTTCACGTTGCGAATACTTTTCATTTGTTCCAACAGCTCGAAACACGTCGATCTTTTCTAAACCCTGTTTCATATCACACTTCGTTCACTCTGTCAATGAAAATGGACTCCGATGCTACGAGAGTAACCCTCTCTAGCCTCGAGAACATCCATCGATATTCAATGTTCCCGATTTGCATGAGAGTAATATCGCGGAAAGAAAGTGGCAAGTTTTTCTCTTCGAAAACTGTTCCTGACCATTTCGCCGCGATCAACTCACGAAGAAAACTGTCTCAGCTTCCATATTCATAACCGAAGCGGCGCGTGAATTGTAAAAGCGAGCGAGAAGCAACGTGTGAAAGAAGGCAATCTTGTTTCAGGTATTTACGATATGCCGACCCTTTTGCCGCAAATGATGGGTTTCGGCAACTACTTCCTGCAAACGTCCCTGGGAAAAATCCTAAATCAGCTACATTCCAAGAGATTGGACGAAGTAGCCGAGCAATTCGAGTCTCATCGCGAGCTTATGAGCCCGTCGACCGCGGATTCAGAGGGAACGGAGGGCACGGAGGGCAAAGACTCTCCGGCACCGGCTGATCCTCAGGGTTTGGACGCTGTTCGACGTATCCTGGAAACTGTGAACACCTCTGTGACGAAGCAACTGCTCGAATTGAACGTACTGAAACTCTCCAGTTGGCCGGCAATGATGAAGCGAGAGTTCGAGGAGGATTATCAAGTAAGATATGATCGTTCGAATCCCTTTACCTTTGTAACTCCTGTCGAGCTTTTCTCTTTTCCGTACACGCGGTTCAAATATGGAGGATGGAAAAGTTGCAAACGTTAGGTTGGATTTTTGGTAATGTTCAGAATTCTTGACGTTTCCCTTGCGATTTATTGCCAGAAAATTTTCACGGTTCTTTCCCCACGACCACGCGGCACGTTGTTTTATTTCTTAACGGCGATCGAGAGTCGTCGTAAAGTCGCCATAAACGCCGGTAACGTCTGACAGCCTTTCGTGAAACCCTCCGCAAGGTCGTCTGAAGGTCACGTTATGACTCATAAATCCTTCATATCGATGTGTGCGACACGTGAGAAGTGCAAGTCGACAGTATCGACGAGCATTTGTGTGGAGTTTCTTCAAGAAGATACTAGAATTACTGTGTATACTTCTCGAATCCATTTGCTTCTCTATCCCTCGAGTTTATTCTAATCTTTTTACAATCACGATGCTTTATTCAAAAATGGGCCGATCTTAACGATAACAACGTATCGGCGGAAGGTACTGTTGGTGTAAACGATACAGCGTGCTCTGGTCGTAAATTAAGCGATGACACTGATTATTCGAAATATATTTGCAACATTTTTTCGATCGATCTTCGCGCAAACCGAGAGATTCGCAGGATTAATAGTGACAAAAAGAAACAAACAAACAAAATATGTTGTGCAGGATCAAGACAGCGAAATGTCCAGCGAAATGGCACACTATCCAGACTGGTCAACGACGGATCAATATGATTCGCAGAGCGAAGGTTTAGCGGCGAAGCTCGAAGATGTGAATCAGCCCAGCGCGAAATCAGGCTACAAGAGAAAAGCGGAGGACAGCTCGGAGGCGGATTCGGAGGACGAGGAGGACGGTACACAGACGCACAACGATAACGGAAGGCGGGTTAGGGCCAGATCGTTGATAGACGACGAGCAATTGGCTGTTCTCAAGGGTTACTATGCCATTAATCCGCGGCCCAAGAAGGAGGAGATCATCATGATCGCCAACTACATCAATTTCCCTCCTCGCGTCGTACAGGTATACACCTACATCTCTATTCCGCAAAAGTTCCAACAACAAATTCCGCCTAATTAACTCTTTACCCTGTTTAATCCGTTTAATCCTACGTCTTACGACTTCTCTTATGGCCGCGCGTATAACGTAAACCTTGTTGTTGGCTATTTACTCTGAAACGGTGTATGCAATTTCTTACATAAACGCGTATATACCTACCGGATGGAGTTTTAGTATGAATTTACTCGCAGACGAAGTTTCTTCTCAATTAATTCAAAGTTAATCGAAAGTTCGATGAGATTAAGGCGTATGTGAAATACACTTTACTTATCTCTTTCCATTTTTCTTTTTTTTTTTTCTCTTTTTTTGCTCACGCTAGTGCGAGATTTAAACAGAAGTGTTCTAATATTTGACAATTCCTTTCTTTATCTCTGTTGCGATTGAAATCAACGAAACTTGATCGAAGAAGAAGTGACCTTTAAGACAACCTTGTGGGGATTTCTTTTGTTATGTACGTCCTCGAAATTCCCCTTAGTAATTATTCTTCTTACTTCCCATAGCAATTTACGTACGTTCTCCAATTTGAATGTAATCCGGATTGTCTCTAAATTCCTCGAATGTTTCGTGACAGATAAGAAATTTGATTGTCAAAAATTGGCAGTAACCTATGTTCGATGTGTTCAGGTTTGGTTCCAAAATTCACGGGCGAGGGATCGACGAGAATCGAAGATACCGCCTCTGGTACCGCTGGCTAATCCCGTGAGTCAAGTAGCGATCGAGCAACCGTTGGACTTGTCGAAGAAGGAGGCTTTAACACAGTCCACGTGCAAGGATAACGACACTGCCTTTGTAATGCACACCTCGTCGTCCCCTGTTGAACAGAAGAACGAAAATCCGCCGGTGCCTAATCAGGATACGGACGATCTGGAGGATTCGCCGCTCGTCATCGACGAGGAGACCACCGATTCCGTGGAAACGAAACGTACGGTCACGACCGGTGGAGAAATTGTTCCGAAGGTAACAACGATGATGATATTGTATCGACAGAAATGATAGAATAGTAAAAAAGAGATAACGATCATTGGTATAAAAGAAAACGTTAAGCGAAGAAGAAATGATCGTTTTACGATGGAAGAACAATAAGAAAATGACACGTTTTATATCAGGTCGTAACGTGTTCTGTTTTACGTTCATTTTTGCAGAGTGTATCTCAGATAAACGTGAAAAGCGAAAGCGAAAACGCGAGTCAACCAGAAGCTCCGCCAGCGGCGGAGATCGAGCAGGGTGTCTACTTCTGTGATCGGTGTGACAAAACATTCTCCAAGCACAGTTCCCTAGCAAGACACAAATACGAACATTCCGGTATGTACTTGAACGTTTCTCATCGAAATGTTACAATTCTCGATCTGTTTTTCAACATTTTACACGAAGTTCTGTTCTGTCGCAATTGAAGAATTACTAAATCTAACCCTTTGCACTTCGAGCACTTTTTTACACGAACTTAGCCTTTTTTTTATAGGAACTGGAGACGAGCGATTTCAATATACTTTTGCAGTGAGGAACTGTTGAATATGAAAAACTTCCTTTTTCAGAAGAGAAAATTATAACTGTTTATAAATTTCTTTTTCTATCTGATACAAGTTATGGAGGTATATTACGAATGCAGAGTGCGAAGGGTTAATTGTAACAGAAGAGTCTACACTTTGATTAAATTCGTAATTTCAATCCTTTGCGGTTCGAGTCACATTCGATGTTTATATCGAATATGTTCTCGCTTTAATTGCGAATTGAATCGTTGAAATTGAAAACTGACGAACATGATTTTTCAAAGATCCCCAATGAATGTCCACAGGGCAAAGGCCGTACAAATGCGTGGAGTGCCCAAGGGCGTTCAAACACAAGCACCATCTGACCGAACACAAGCGACTACACAGCGGCGAAAAGCCCTTCCAGTGCTCCAAGTGCCTCAAGCGCTTCTCTCACTCCGGCTCCTACAGCCAACACATGAATCATCGTTACTCTTACTGCAAGCCGTACAGAGAATAGAAATATTCCCGCTAGTTTGAAAACGAAGACTCTCTCGCTGGCTTAGTTAAGTACGTACGGTCCTTTTTTTTCCTTCCACGACACGGGACCTCGGCATTTAATTCACGATCGTGTCGTAACGATCGAAATGAGACTACAACGGATAAGAAAAAAACGAAACATTGATACCTCGCGTTCCAACGCGCGGGAATCACGCTAGAGAAAGAATACTATAGCGACGATCACGCGCGACGACGAAATTGACCGTGAAGAGAAAAAGAAAAGGAAAACTGAGAGATCTGTCTCTCTCGCGCGCGGATTTTAAGATCGTGGAGAAAAGCACACGAAAGCTGCGTGAAACGCGGTGAACAATAATTAGGAGCCTAAAAAAAGTATATTTAGCTGAGGATATTCGTCGAGGAGCCTAACGAATATGGAAACCGCACGCTGATTTAAACGAATGGAAGAGAGCACGGTGCGATTTCTCGAGGGAAAAGAAGAAGAAGAGGAAGAAGAACTTGAATAAGAAGTTGTTAAATATAGAGGCTAAAGAAGATCGCGAATTAGACTCGATGATTACGCGATTTCTGTGTTCGAGAAGCGACAACCAGCATCGTCCAAGTGTCTCGTGAGTTTCTTCTCAAGTTCATTCTCGCGCTGAAAGAAATAATGAAGCAAGGAAGAAGGGAAAGGATGCAGAAAAGTAAAAAGTAAAAAATGAAAAAAAAACAAAAACAATGAATTCGCGAAGACCTCGGGTCGACGAGCATTAAAAAGAAACCAAACAATACGCAACGGTACCAAAAATGCATAATGCAATAATCTATTATATATTATATATAATATACATAATATTTTAGTATTTTTATTAACAAGATTATTATATATACCATGACAATAATAAGGAAACTAATTAACGTACAAATTTGTTAGCCACGTTCGCACGGGGCACGCGATATATTCAGTCGCGACGCGCAAACTGGCGAAGGGATAACGAAGTGACGCGATTGGAAGTTTCATTTTTGGAAAATTGGGCTGCGTGTATGCAATTGGATATCTTCGATGGAGAACGAAGCAAAATTCCAGGTGTTATATTCTACGCACGAAGAGAACCTGTGTTTCGATGTGACGAAGAAGTCATTTTTTCTGGATATTTTTTGTCGAATTTGCACTCGTCAAATGAATGGTTTAGAAGAAGAAAGGAAGAAGAAATTTTTCGTTACGGAAATCTCAATGGAAAATGGAATCTTTCAACCGATTACGCGTCAATGATTCAATTTCATTGTTGAATTAATTTTTTTCCAACAACAAAGAAGATTCAAAGAAAATTAACGTTTGGAATATAAGGATCGATAATTAAAAACAGAACTGAAATTCATAAACGAAGGCGCGCGTGCAATTAGAGAAAGAAAAAAACCAAACAAACAAACATTAAACCAATGATATAAAGGTTCAAGAAGATTGAAGCACCGAACGGGGAGGATGTGTTTGAACTTAAACCGCTAAACTGAGAGAGCTTAAACGCAAATTCCGATGAACCGCTGAAAACGGAGACTAGAATCTCTAGTTGTCCAGCCACCTCTCGCGATCGAGTGCTTTTTGAAACTCGATCCATGGGGTTCGGCTGAGTTACGATTTATTATACGTAGCGTCGAGGTGTTTCTGGGCCTTATCTATCGGTGATCGATGCCATAACGAGTAACTTTCGATCGTTGTGTACTTACTTTGAATTCCGTGTCGTCGCACAGTCGACATTCCCCCTTACGATGTTACGTGAGAGATTCAACGTGTGCGAATTGAAGTTTCTCGTTTTCGTTCGACATAGATCTCACCTCACAGTTTCATAATATGAATTGTAAATAAATTAGATTTTACCATCAGTCGGTGATGAGTTTCCTAATTGTTTAAGTATTGCGTGTATTTTTATTCCTATGACTTAAATTTCAATCATGTCCCATGTATACATAAGACGCCTTAAGCTTCGAGCAATACACACGAATTTTTATTAACAAGACACTAACGTCGAGAAGATTTATTCAGAATGATCTTTATGCTATTTATCGTTTGAATCTCCACGTATCGTCGTTCGCACTAAGAAAGAAAAATGCTTTAGAATGAAAACAATGTTCCATGTCCTGAGAAGAGTGAAAAACGTATGCCTTAGACATTCCGCTAGGATCGAGCGCGCTATCCTTTTTCAGTTGTTCATTTAGATCGTGAAACGTCACACCACGGCCTCTCGTACTTTTCTTTTTTCTTCTGTCAAGTTCACGGGATCTGTCGTTGTATCGTCGAACCCGATAAGCTGATCAGTTTTCCGGCGTACGAAAGGTAAATGGCATCGAGAACCCTCGCAATAAAATGAACAAAAACGAAAATCATGAAAGAAATACGAAAAAGAAAAAAAAAAGAAATCCCTTCACCGAGATCCGGGCCCCGATCATAAACTCTAAGTATAATATTAAATGCTTCCAATACTGTACTATTAAAACAGAAAAAAAAATTATTATTACAACATTTTTATGATTTTATTCGTTCGGACGCGT